GATTCTACAGGTTTGTTCAGTTTCATTTAGTTTATATGTAGGTTGATATTGATTATTTTTCAAGGTTCATATTAATGACTTTATATGTATTGTTTAATATTTGTCATATTCTCTAAATGTCTGCTATCTATTTGCTGCTAACAGAAGTTCAATACATGCAGTCAAACAAAAGAAAATATACAAGTTTATGACTAAACATTTAATTAAATGTGTACATAAACACAAAAATGCATTCAGCTCCAGAGGTTTGTTTTATGAAATGAATTTTCTTTTTCTAATCCTATTGATGTTGATGCTCTTCTTATTATTACCTACACCAAGGAGGTTATGTTTTGGTCTCATTGGTTAGTTATTTGTTTGTTGGTTGGTTAGCAGGATAACTCAAAAAGTTATGAACAGATTTTTAATGAAATTTTTACCAGAGATGTCTCTTAGGGTAACTTAGATTACATTAAATTTTAGTTGTGATGCAGATCATGATCTGTATCTAGGAATTTTTTTGAGTGATTGCAATTAAATGGCCCCATCTCTTCCAGATGATGAAGATGTAGAGAAACAGCTGACAGCAGATAATTTGGCACTGATTGTAGCTAATGCAGCAAGTGAAGACCAAGCAGTTCAGTTGTCTGCAGTTCAAGCAGCACGAAAACTGCTCTCTTCAGATAGAAACCCCCCTATTGATGATCTGATCCAGTCTGGAATCCTTCCTATACTTGTCAAATGTCTGGAAGGCACTCACAAGTAATTTGCAGCAGGTTTTTTGGTGGGAGATTTGGGAGAAATGATGAGAAGACGAAAGGATTTCACTATTCCTAGTTTTGACTACTATTACCATTATATTCTAGTTATAACATTATATTCTAGTTATAGGATGCTCATGAAATACTTCTCTAATTTTGCAATCTGGTTTTTGGTAGTGATAAAGCAAGATTTCAGGAACAATCAATTATGTATTTTAGATGTAGTGTCAGTTACAATGGTGAAAGGTGATTCTAGATTTGTAAACTCATCATTTCTGTTGTTAATCAGTAATCTTTTTCTGATCAAAAAGTAGACAGTTGTATAACGTGAACAGTGTATCTTCCCCGGACAGCCCATCCTTACAATTCGAAGCGGCCTGGGCTCTGACAAATATAGCCTCAGGAACATCCAGGCAAACTCAGGCGGTGGTCCAAGCTGGAGCTGTTCCTCTATTTCTTAAATTACTTCAGTCATCTAGCCAGAATGTCTGTGAGCAAGCTGTTTGGGCACTAGGTAAGTGTTGCGGAAGGGAAGAGTTTATCTTTTGGACATTTGATGACCTTGTTACATAGAATGTCAGATGGGAAGATAGACTTCTATAAGCTTTGCAATAGATTTTCCTAGTGTTTTTATTATTGTTTTGATATATATTTTATTTACCTTCAGGTAATATAATTGGTGATGGGCCACAACTAAGAGACTATGTCATCTCCTTGGGTGTTGTCCAGCCACTTCTTAGCTTCATTAACCCAGAAATACCTATTGGATTCTTACGAAATGTTACATGGGTCATTGTCAACCTGTGCCGGAACAAGGAACCACCACCACCCCAACAGACTATAAAGGAGATTCTTCCTGCATTAAATATCTTGATTCATCACCATGACACTTCTGTAAGATATACGATGAATTCAGAACCTACTGAGCAAGCTGCCATCTTTATCTACTGCCTTCTCCATTTATATATGCTTTTATTTTTTATTCAGTTTTCTGAGAAGTTGGACATGTTTCAGTCTGTAGCCATTAATCTAGATTTATTTGATTATTGAATTGCAGTCATGCTTGTAATAAGCTGGTTTATTTATGAAACTAATTTCTGCTCACTGTGCCAACTTTTTCTCTTCCACATTTATTGTCTAGGTTGTATACATTAGAGCTTGCTTTGGGAACAAAGAGAATAATATGTAATAGCACTTATTTCATAAGTAGGTGCAGCTTTTAATTTAAAACAGAGTGAGGAAATGTCCGATATTAATGTATTCTTTTCCCCCCCCCCCAGATATTGGTGGACACAGTATGGGCTCTTAGTTACCTTACGGATGGTGGTAATAATAATATTCAGCTGGTCATAGACAGTGGTGTTGTTCCAAAGCTTATACCATTGCTTTCCCATAAAGAAGTTAAGGTAAGATTGTCAGAACCTTTAAAAAGATTCATACTTGGAAACATATTGTTTATTACATTCACAGATGCATTTGAAAGCTTCGAGGCATCCATACCCTATGCACACTACACACACAACGTACGCACTACACACAGACTCTCTCTCTCCCTCTCTCCCTCTCCTCTCCTCTCTCCCTCTCCTCTCTCCCTCTCCCTCTCCCTCTCCCTCTCCCTCTCCCTCTCCCTCCCACTCCCACTCCCACTCCCTCCCACTCCCTCCCTCTCTCTCACCACTCACTCACTCACTCACTCACTCACTCACTCACTCACACACATACACTCTGAAATAGTCTAGTTTTTGGTTTGAGAACTGGTTCCCGTGTAGACAGTTCAGATTAATAGATATGCAGTACATACACCTTTTGTTCTCGTATATAATAGTCTTGTATCATCTCCTTTCCTCATGTTTTTGTTTTTTCCTTAGCCATATTATTTATTAATGTATTTAATATATTTCCAATAGGTCCAGACAGCAGCATTAAGAGCTGTAGGTAATATTGTTACTGGTACTGATGACCAGACCCAAGTAGTCCTGAACTGCGGAGCACTGTTCCACTTCCCGGCCCTCTTGACTCACCAGAAGGAAAAGATTAATAAGGCAAGTTTATTGTAAGGGCATGTATTTTGTTCCTCTGACATAGTACATAGTGCAAGCTTTTTCTTCTCAAAAGTCTAGTCTCTTTGATAAATATTTATACTTAGTTTATTTTTCATCACGACATCTGATACAGTAAGGTACTTAATATTCAGTACATATATCACGTTAACCTGTATAGGCAACTGTTGAGCTTGGTTCCATGCCATATAGGTGCCGAGAATGTCCTGGTTTGTGGTTTTCCTATAGACATGCGATATTGTGAGGCCTTGGTACTATTTCATGGCCAAAAATCCCATTGAGGCATCCAGCCACTAATTTGTAACTCCATAGGAGGGCTATTAACTCCTTTCACTGAGATATTGTTGGCATGAGCATCTAGCAAGATAGTCAGACTTGGCGTCACATGACATACACCTTGGAGGCAATGAGTTAAGGCGTCAGTAATAGGAAGTAATGAAATACTTCAAAAGTTTCTCTTAATTTTTGTTGTTTAGTTTCTTATCTTTAAGTTAAAGGATGCAGATTATAGGGTTCCTTATATTTCTTTCGTTCCATTTGTAGGAAATTGTTATTATCATCATCGTCATTATTGTTATCATTAAAGTTATTGTTATTATTTATTGGTACTATTATCATTATTATTATCTTTTTGATTATCATTACTGTTATTAATCATGTTAATATTATTAATAGTATTGATAGTATTAGCAGTGTTAATATTAATAATAATAATAATAATAATAATGATAATAATAGTAATAATGGTAAGAATTATAGTAATAGTAATGATAGTAATAATAGTAGTAGTAATTATTATTATTATTATTATTATTATTATTGTTATTCTTATTAATATTATTTACTTGGCTGTTATCATCATCAGTGATCACCATCACCTTCATCATTATTATTCTTGTATATTTGCTATATTAGGAGGCTGTATGGTTCTTAAGCAACATAACAGCAGGAAACAAGCAGCAGGTCCAAGCAGTAATTGACGCAGGTCTCATCCCAATGATTGTTTTACAACTAAGCAAAGGAGAGTTCCAGACACAGAAGGAAGCAGCTTGGGCCATCAGCAACCTTACCATTTCGGGTAGTAAGCAACAGGTATGGAATGATTTGGCACTCATTCACAGTTTGAGGTGCTCTTTTTGCAAGCAGGATTTTATTTTGGCATGATTATTTGAGTCCCTGAAGAAAATGTAAACTTAGAATCATGAATTTTTATATCTAGTTTTAAAAATGCCATTGCACACACAGCAGTGATGAAGAGGCATAACCATTGTTACTCAGCTGTTGATTTCCTGGATGTGACTTCTTTTAGGTTCATTATTTTGTTTGTGTGTGTATGAATGGGAAAATAAAAGGTCTCTGAATATTATCAAGGTAATATTCTGAATGAAAAAGGAGTGCAGCTGAGGTTGCCATGTGGCATGTAAATGCCAAGATGGTAGCCGATGATTAAAGCCCAATGGACCTAGTGTGTTTCAGAGAACAGATGAATGCTAGGTAGCTAGGATGACGGCGTTGCAGCAGATCACCGGTCTCTTAGTGGTAGGATTAGTTCATTTTAAATTTAATCAGAGTAATTAAGCTGAAATCCATGCAGGGAATTAACACTGAGGGAGCAATGGTAAGCTGAGGTGAGGCATGAGGCCTGGGCTTTTAGTTAAACCCAGGCACATGTTGACCCTTCTGAGCTCGTGTAGTAATAATATTCACCTGTGTTACATTATGTTGGGTGAAGACGATTGAATTGAGTATTTAAAAATCTTACTTGTTTAGCTTGATGTAGATTTTATATATATCCTCCACAGGTGGCTCATCTAGTAAGTCAAGGTGTAATTCCACCATTTTGCAACTTGCTTACCTGCAAGGATACACAGGTCATTCAGGTCGTTTTAGATGGCATCTCAAACATCCTAAATCGAGCTGGTGAAGATGTGGAGGTGGTAGCCAACATGATAGAAGAATGTGGGGGTAAGAAGTATGCCTTTTTAAGGTTTAAAGGTGATGAACATGTTTGATATCCATCATATGTTTTTTCTATATTTACTCATTTGCCTATTTTTTTTCACAGGTCTTGACAAGATAGAATTCCTTCAGAACCATGAAAATGTAGAGATTTACAAGTTGGCATACAGCATTATAGAGAGATACTTCTCAGAAGATGTAAGTAAATTTATTTGAATGAAACTATTCAAAATTTCATGATAGTTACCATGTTATGTTATTTTTCTACTTTATATTGATATTACACTTCTTGGTTCCTGTTTATAGCAATATAATATAATGAGTAATGTAATTGTTCAAGGTTAAAAACTCAGGTTTTCATTCTAAGTGAAATGTTCTTTTTTCCAGGATGCAGAAGATCCAAACTTGGTGCCTGAGGCCACAGAGACTGAATATGCGTTTGACAATAATAGCACTAGTGAGGGAGGCTTTCGATTTTAGTGACTGTTGGCAACTAGGTATACAATTTCTTGACGATGGTGGATTAACTAATAATTGTTGGTGGTAGATGACTGTTCATTTTATTGCTTATAGAGAATATTCTATATTGCATTATAACATCTACACCAGTCAGTAGCTAGTTAAATCACCATGACTAAAGTTGTTATGAATCTTTAGCTGTTGATATTTCTTAATGAGTTCATGTGACTTGAATACAATATAATCAGTTATCATTGAAAAGATGCCCATCAGTGCATTGGCATTATGCAATTCTGAAATTTCCACTAGTGATGAAACTTGAATATAATAAGGAACATTACTCACCAGACTGAACAAAAGAACGATGAAGCTCTTTTATTTTGCAAACAGAAAAGTCTTAGTAAGTTTTTAAAGGCCTTCAATCACTGACCAGGAAAATGCCTTCTTAAATTATCTGAGCTGGAAGACAAACAAGTTCAGAATAGAAATTCAGCTGTGCTAAAAAAGAAAGAAAGAAAGAAAGAAAGAAGTAAAAGGAAAAACACATTTCTTATACAGTCCTTTTGTGTAAAAATAGAAAAGAAAAAAGAAATGGAAAACCAAGACACTGAAAGAATATTAAAGAGTGAAATACGGGTTTCAGAAGTAAAGACAATGTGTTTTCTGAAGTGGAATTAACAAATATAGTGGGTAACTAAAAATAGCAACTTAATAAATTTTAATTTACTCAGTTTTATTTTTGATAAGGTTTTTATTTTTATTTCATTTCTTTTTCTTCATTGTAAGGGAATTTTGTAGCATGATAACCAAAGGTATAGTATTATGGGTAAGTTAATGAGAATTATAGGGGTACATTGTTTATAATGGCTATTATGTGGTACTCACATGGGTGTAAGCAAGTGTCAAATAAGGCTATCTGAATAAACATATTGATATTCAACACCTGGGCTGTATTGTTGAATTGGCACAACAAACATTGCACATGCAAGTATATCCTTCCAGGTCAATCTATAGTATTGGGAAATTCAGAGTTGGTGTGTAACTGATGTAGTCATACAATAGACCAGTTTCATTTCACAAATGGAAGGGTTGAAAGAGTTACATAAAACATTGGTGAGCAGTTTTCTTTATGCTGGCTTTATTTTTACTCAACTCCTCCAGGAATATTACAATGAAGGATGTATAATAATGAAGTGCACAGGTAGGCTGTGCAGAATGATACATAGTCCTTTTTTACGCTTGTTTTTTTCTGTGTCAGTGTACATTGGTTCTAATTGTAATAATTTCATTATGATTATTACCTGTTTTAGAGAACCCTTTTACAGAACATTTTTGTGTGTAAAGTGGTATTAACTTTCTGAAACCTTAATGTATGGTCAAAGCCATATGTCTGATAGTCCTATGACCCTTTCTTAGGAACCAAACCTTATTTTCCTTTTTTCTCATCCCTTCTTCCCCCTATACACTAACTGCAGAGGTATATTACTCATATCATTTCATCTCATTCCTTATTAGAAGTAAACTGTTGACATTTCAGGAAAGCAATTTCCACATTGGAAGGAAGGAACTTCATGTCCATGATGTGAAATTCATTTAAAGTAGCGTTGATGGCATCATTACTTGTGTTATTAGAAACCATGCAGACTTGTGCATCTATTGCTGGAGTATTTGCAGATTCATGAGATTGATTGCATGTTAATGCTTTATTCTGATTAAATGTTCAATACTGTGAACCCCTGCAGCACTCCAGCAGTGTATAGAGCCTGGGATAAATTTTAATGTAACACTGTCCATTTTGACGTACTTTAGTGTGTTCCGAAGGCATGGCTGAGAAAGGGAATTAACTGCAGACAGAAGTTATCACTTTGCCTTTATTTTTATTTGAGACATGGTCTCTTCCTTGTCTTGGACTGTCATAAAAAAAAATTTCCTTGCAACAAGTAAGAGAAGGTTCTGCCCTCAACTTCAGTTACACAGCACTTTAACTTTGGAATAGAAACACAAATTTTAAAGCTTAGGAACTGCCTCAGGAAATCTAATGGGGAAAGAAATCTTTGAGTATGGTGTCTGGAAGTTTCCACAACTCCACAAATCCAGCCTTCTCTTATTTGCAGCATTACTCTTGACGTTGTGGGTGTTTACTGGCAACACCAGGCACTTTTGGCAGTAGAAAAACTAAGTATTTCACCAGTCTTATAGTTCGTCCAAAAAAAAAAGAAAGAAAAAAAGATGTGAACTCTCAAGGTTTGTTATGAACCTTTGGTAAAACTGGAGAATTTAATTTTTAAGAGGATACACTGTATATATCAAGGGAAGTTTTTGTATAAGTAAAAAATGAAAATGATGAAGGAGACTGAATTATTTATAGCTTTTTGTAGGAACAGAAATTTTCAGTAGTCATTGATTTTCTTGTGGGGAAAAACATGCAATAGTTTGTCTGATGGTGAAGGTGCCCAAGTGACTGCCGGGAACAACTCTCCCCTCCTCTCCTGCCTTGAGCCGAGAAAAGGTTGGAAATGCTCATATCGCACCCCCCATGGCTGTGTCTTACATTTATATATAAAGCTTGTATTGCTGAAAATGTTATAGATATTAAATAATGAGAAAGCTATTCCCCTATTTTAGGTTGTAAAGGCATTGCTAAAGTTTTTGCAGGGCTTTCCAGCGTCTCAACCTTTTCTTTATATTAGAAATATTTTATATTGGAAAACAAGAGGTATTACCAAATAACTAAATTTAGGGAAACATTTCTTTTTTTTATATATCATTCAAAAGTCCAAAGACCACAGAGGAAATGCTGTTGATCAGTGATAGCTCAAGTATTCCAGTGGTACAGTGTCTAGTGATGGCAGTACCTCTTACGCCATATGTCCTGGATTAATTTGTTAAAAGCTTCTCCCAGACTCAGCAGATTATCAACACTAGAGTAATTCCGGAGTTCCAGTGCTTCTCAGTGGAGGTCATTCTTTTGTTTCACTTTATGGTATGTTGACCTCTTGTAATCTGTGAAACTTCTGAATAACCCTAGTGCATGCTGAGACTATATGAAGCTCTAATGACCTTCTAAATTGACCTTATGAAAAGATTTGCATATCATTTTTTCAGTGTGAATAGCAGGAAGATATTCATCTGTCAGATTTACAATGAGTCATTGGTTAGGAAAAGGTCATGATTGACATAAATTATAATGGGACATATGCAAGCCTTAGTGCCGGCAAGGCAAAGTGAGAAAGCATTGCTCGGATGCTATTTTACAAAGACAACTCATGGGTCATTTGTGTGATAGGAAGCTCAATATACACTACATACAGGAAAAAATCAAAGGATTTGTAAATAATGATATTTAAAAATTGGCAATATTCATATATAGGAATTTCCTACATGTAATAGTAGAAATGTATGTTACATTAACACAGCATATTATATCAAATCACACTTCTAGAAAATAGTTTAGAAAGAGGGCTTCCTTTCTTACATACTGTTAATGAAATTTCCAAAATCTTAAAAACAAAAATGTCAATGTTCATCCGGATTTCTAAAGACCATTAGCATGACGAGCTTTTGCATAGAACCACTGAGCATCTTTCCGTGCACTTACACAGTGGGGATGTCTTTCCATGGGTTTTGCAAGAACATATTCCTTAATTTCCAATCTATGTCCAGTGGCTATAGTTGCCAAATTGTTATTTTTTTCTCTCTCTGTCTCGGTGCTACAGGATTTCAGGCTAAGCTAGGTATTTAACCTCACTGGGGAAGTACAACAAAATGATTTTGGGGTACTATTCCAATGTTTCTGTTTACTTTTACTTTTTCATTTTTTTTTTCATTTTTTTTTTTTTTTTGTCTGCTTTACTTTTTGGAATGGCCCTATTCACCATCCAGCTTATTATAGTCTCCTGGAGGACTATAATGACGTAACTTTAAACTGTGATTCACTTAAGCATATATGAGCTTTACCTGCCTTGTTTAGCCTGTTCATGTGCCTCAAATGAAGTATATATAGTAAAGATGTGTGTTCTTGTAGGCCAATGCATTACATGTCCAAGGGTTGACAAAGGTAGATAAAATCTGTGGGAAGAGTCAACTCTGGGGTTTGTAATGACTAGAGAATATGTGGTCTCTCCCACCACACTGGGCTTAATGAGTCAGCAGATATACAGAACTTAAGCTGTGTTGCAGAATCACTTGTCCATTTTAACAGTTGAAATTTTAAAAAGGAAGTCAGACTTCTTTTACTTGTAAGATAATGGGTAGATTCACCATCTTATTTGATATGAAAACCTGCTGGGTTAATGTGAGAGACCATGTAGACCAAGACTCCCCACACCTAGACTCACAAAGGGTCATGATTACTCAGAATCAAGTTGTGCATGGCCAGTCTTCTCAGCTGATGACCTTGGCATTTGTTTCAAGATCTTTGATAGACCTTCCACTCATTTTGATACGTCTCCAAGAACTCTTTTTTCTTCATCAAGACTCCAGTCTGCATATCATCATTGTTTCATTACAATGTTATAAATCACACTTGCTGGTATATGGAATGAAGAAAATCCATTTCGCATGTGGAAATCAGTTGAATCTCTGGTACCATGTTACGTGATTCTGTCCAAAGCCCTCTGAGAATTTATTGCAAGTAGATAAAAATGGTGGCATGGAGTGTCTCGGAGGGCTTGCTGCTAAGGCAATGTTGTCATCTGCTCCCCACTTCTGTCCTCTAGGGTGAATGTATTATGTGAGCATAAAGATGGCAAAATCACCTAAATAAATGAAGATCAGATTTCAGGGTTGTTTCCTTTAAGTTGATGAATCAGTTGTGAAGTAAGGGCTATATTATACCAAGAAAGTGTTGTGTAAGAACAAGGTTGGATAGTTGGAAGTACCTGTATGCGTTTTTGATTTGTGTACAAGTATTAAAACTGGTGCAGTTGGAACTAGAAGCAGAATTCATATATTAATACCAAGGAAACTTACTAATGAATTCACCTATTCCATATAATAATGTTATATACTTTACCATAGACATTGCAAATATATTTTACAATGTCATCAACGTAGGGAATATCTGCTTAATAATGAATGTAAGCATTTTAGGAAAGTCTACATGAAATCTGAACACTGCGACTTAAATTGTCAAAAATTGATGCAGTGAAATGCTTACACAGTACAATCTGTGCCAGTGGCTCGCAGGATTACCAATTTCTGAGTACCATTTCAATCGTGATGTTGTGTGAAGCAGATACATAGTGGACTTTTGGTTCAATATACAAGTACAATGTTATCAATGGTTATGATTCGGTACTCTTGTCCAGAAGCCAGTTTTTAAAGATACAGCCATGGAATCTTACTTTAACTTGATCGCTGATATTTTGTGAAATTCCGTATTCTGAACTGGAAGTAAAAAAAAAAATTCAGATCCTGCGTAACTCCAGTCTTGTAATCATTTCTGCTTAAAGTCAGCGATTGGTTTTGAAAACGTTCACGTCAAATACTGCAACGTCAGATACAAGGCCTTTTTGCAGGTTCCCAAAACTCCAAATTGATGCATGTTTGGTGTTCTATCATGGTCGTTAAAAAACACTATCATTGAAGCTTGCTATTACAAAATTTTGAAAATTTTTTATTTTTATTGATTTCAAAAAGAGAAGTTGACAAAACCATTAAAGTAATTGATATGCAAGTATATTTAACTAGTGTAGGTTCAAATAAAATGGAAAAAGTTCTTAGCTACCGGGCATGGCTGTGAAAACTTTCAAACGTATTTCTGATTCACTCAACATTTTCTTTATTATCTACATGGTTCTTCATATGAAAAGTGGAAATTGCATGAGATTTTGCATCTTACCGTATCCACCGTGAGTGAGCTGTGTCCGAATCAGATAAAGTAGATAATGCCAATGACCAGAGGTGTTTACATGTCTTATTGATTAAACTTTATCAACGAATGAAGATACACAGTCTATTCTAATATTTTCGAGGCTGTAAGTTTGTGCCGTAGAGGTATAGAATAATTTTGAAAACATTCGACTCACTGACGTCAAGATCGACTTCATATTTTACCCAGAACGAGTGATCATGTATTTAATGTACTACTAAAGAGATTTTTTTTCCTTATAAATACAATTTCGTATCGCGAAACTTAAGACGCGATTCGTAATTAATGAAAATACAAATCCCCATCTGAGCCTGCGTGAAATGTATCTGAAGTATAGCGCTCTGATTGGCTGACCGGAATGTGTCAAACTGTATCAGGGAAGAGGCAAATACGTTGATACAATATGTAAAGATGATACAACCAGGTTCCAATAATGTGCGAGAAAGGGCAAGCATGTATCAAAGTGTATCAAACGGGTTTCGGGCATGCAACAAAAAAGGCCTATTGTTCTAGTTTTTCCTCCCTATAAAAAATCCTGCCCATTTTTTTTTTTTTTTTTTTTTTTTTTTTTTTTTTTTTTTTTTTTTTTTCAGTGACGAATACGCGAGTAGACTGAGCAAAATGTTGAGGGCAGGAAATTGCACTCGATTATGAAAACTGCTAAGCTCTGATTTTTATCGAGACTGATCGTCAGATATTTTGAATAGTTAGTCTATAGACGAATATTAAGAATTATTGTTATTGAATGGCAGGAATGTGCATACACAATAGGTAACTTTTGACGATAAACCAGATATCAATTTACGTCGACGACGAATGCGCATAAAATCATTCAAAAATGGCTTAATTACGTTTCAACGGAGAAATTGTATCCTGAGAAAGTAGAGCCCGAGCATCAGTTTTAAGATGTAAAAATGTCTGTTGTTTGATATATGGTAAACCGAATGGCTTCTGTTTCGTGTTTCGTTACGTTTTTTCGTCGATAAAATTTCGCTTCCTTTCTCGCTTTCTTCCTCTCATTCTATATTTTCGTCATTCTTCGCTCCTTTCTCTCCCTCGCCATTCTCTTTTGTCTACATTCTTTCGCCCTTTCTCGCCATTCCTTTTTTTCGTCTATATTCTTTCGCTCCCTTTCTCGCCTTCTTCCTCCCATTCCTTTTATCGTCTACATCCTTCCTCTCCCGTCCTTGCCCTCTTCCTCTCCCTCCGCCTTCTCATCTGAGCTAAATTTCTCACCTTCGCCATGTCCCTCTCTGTCTGTTGTAAATACCACAATATATTTATTTTTTGTTAGTAAAGCCAATGCAACAAGGTATACAACTATGCATCTGGAGGGACAGAGATCAAGATAGTCGTAGGGCTATCACATGGGACCTGATATGCTGGAGGGTGAAAAGGTATGAATGAGAA